CTTCCGATCTAACCCTAACCCTAACCCTAACCCTAACCCTAACCCTAACCCTAACCCTAACCCTAACCCTACCCCTAACCCTAACCCTAACCCTAACCCTACCTAACCCTAACCCTAACCCTAACCCTAACCCTAACCCTAACCCTAACCTAACCTAACCCTAACCCTAACCTAACCCTAACCCTAACCCTACCCTAACCCTAACCCTAACCCTAACCCTAACCCTAACCCTAACCCTAACCCTAACCCTAACTACCTAACCCTAACCCTAACCTACCCTAACCCTAACCCTAACCCTAACCCTACCTAACCCTAACCCTAACCCTAACCCTAACCCTAACCTAACCCTAACCTAACCCTAACCTAACCCTAACCCTAACCCTAACCCTAACCCTAACCCTAACCCTAACCTAACCCTAACCTAACCCTAACCCTAACCTAACCCTAACCCTAACCCTAACCCTAACCCTAACCCTAACCCTAACCCTAACCCTAACCCTAACCCTAACCCTAACCTAACCCTAACCCTAACCCTAACCTAACCCTAACCCTAACCCTAACCCTAACCCTAACCCTAACCTAACCCTAACCCTAACCCTAACCCTAACCCTAACCCTAACCCTAACCCTAACCCTAACCCTAACCCTAACCCTAACCCTAACCCTAACCCTAACCCTAACCCTAACCCTAACCCTAACCCTAACCCTAACCCTAACCCTAACCCTAACCCTAACCCTAACCCTAACCCTAACCTAACCCTAACCCTAACCCTAACCCTAACCCTAACCCTAACCCTAACCCTAACCCTAACCCTAACCCTAACCCTAACCCTAACCCTAACCCTAACCCTAACCCTAACCCTAACCCTAACCCTAACCCTAACCCTAACCCTAACCCTAACCCTAACCCTAACCCTAACCCTAACCCTAACCCTAACCCTAACCCTAACCCTAACCCTAACCCTAACCCTAACCCTAACCCTAACCCTAACCCTAACCCTAAACCTAACCCTAACCAATACCCTAACCCTAACCCTAACCTAACCCGTTCGGAAAAACTAACCAGGAACTGACTGAACTATCTAATTTTTTCTTTAGTACATATTGGGTCCACCTTATTGCGCCTAAGTATAAAATACTACAATATTCAGCAGACGCATTAAAGCTTTTCTTAACTGTTTCACTATCTCACAAACTTAATTTTAGCTTTATCCCTTCCCCGTACCGATAACCTACTCGTTGTCCTATCCCCAACCGATACTTTAACCCCGATTATTTAAAACGTTTGTAAAACCGATCTATTTTCTTTAACCTTTTATGTACTTAGAGACGTGCATTAAACAATGTTCCTCCGGGTTTCTTTAAAATATGCCGTGCGCAAGATATTTTAAGCTTCCGTACTAGGCGCAGATCGGATAATGATTATAAAAATTCCCTAAAAGTTTTATTGGCGTTTCTTAAAATGATAAGGGCAGGTGTGTTCAGGGAAAGGAAGACATAGCCTGCCGAGATAAAAATAGTTCAGTAAGTCGTAATGCTCCTTATTTACTGTCTGACAACATTCTTTCTCCAATCGTCTTAGATAAGATACATGATATTCAATTGACTAAAGTTAACTGCAACCATGTTTACCTCATTTTTCCGGTAAGTTCCAGAGATTGCTTTATGTGAACGCTGATGTAAGTTTTCTATCAAATTAACATAATGCATACTATTGGTCATAGGGTTGGAAGCGAACCGAAGGAAACACCTGAATTAAGCCAACAAGCGAGAAAAATATATTGCTGGTATGCAAAAAGACATGATTGAAACTACTCCATGGGCTTTGCTGTGCTACGGAATAACTGGTTGACAACTGCACTGGTCATAGCTGATTAATGTTAAATTGTCATTTGACATACAATGTCCAGAAATTTGCGTTGCTGTTATCTGGCCATCTGCACTAATTTTTCTAAAAGCAATGTATTTGCACTAAAGAGATACGTTCCGGTGAATAAGTTCCAATATGCCTGATACTTGTATTATTACCGTCCACATGGAATCTATAATTTACCTAGCTACATATCGGACGCTGCAAGTACTTTGCACTAATAATTCCACATACAAAGGCGGGTGCAATGCTTGCTTAACTACAGACACTTCAGATAGACACAGGTGGTTCCAATCATTGGCTATCCGTGTGGTGTGTTTTGTGATTGAGTATCCTTTGCTATATTTTATACAGAACCGTATATAAAAATAAATCTACCACATACGGCAGTTGGCACAGTGAGTCGTGGCAACGTCGAAGCACCAACACCCAGATGTTACAAGCCTTCATCTTTTGCCTGATAACCTGCTTACTTGATGTCAGCTGCGGTAAGTTTATAAATGTTCATAAAAATAGCATGTAATCATTCATAATACGTTCTTTAAATAATTAGGTTAAGTGTTACGCGTCAATTGTTTTTAGATGGTCTACCTGAGGATTGCGCGTTTAAGTGCTTTTCTTAACTAAAAATATATTTAGACTGGCGCGACGTACCACTTTTATAGCGTTTTATCACAAAACCATAGTATACGTTTCCCCTAGCTAAGTTCCATATCTAACACAGGTCAGTTGCCTCTTTGGCTAGCTAATGAGTTCACTGTAGTTCATTAATTAAAAGCTGTGTTTTGTAGTCAAATGACGAGTCAGTTCCCTGACACAGTTGAAATGCTGTCGTTAAATGCAGAATAAACAGCCCATATTTCAGTAACTCACTCCTTTAGCAATATTATTCAAAGGATTTCTTCTTGCTTTGCGCAGCCGTGTTGCGCTAAAACTGTAGTACTTGTAAGTTTGTCTAATCAGTTCCTTCAGGTTTACAACTATTTTCAGCATTTTACCTCCAAAACGGCCAAACGTACAATTATACACTAAGTACAACTGGCACTTGTTCTCAACAAATATTGCTGTTCAGTATAATAAGCCACATTAGCATAACTGCACATTTATTCATCATGGACGCGTGCTTGCCTTTATTGCGATGTTGATGATAACCGATCTATCTTTCAAGATCTTTTGTCAGTTGCGGTTGGAAAAATGCAGCTGCCAAATGACAATGGGACTGTCAGAAACAACATGGCAATATCCTGCCAAATACAAGTTAGTGTTTTCATTAATATATGTACAACCTATGAAAATGCGCCATTCCCTTCTGTTCCGCAGTGGTTTAAATGTACCTGTAAGTTTAAGGGCATTATTAATTAATATCTGATTTTGCTCCTTTGACTTAAGTAACCTATAAAACTTAATATACCTACTGTATACCTGCTTGCTCTATCGCGGTATCAGGTTCCTAGATAACAGAAAAATCGGAGAGGGTTTCTATGTTTTCCCGGCTGGGCAATATCGTTGCAGACGTTTGATTACCAAGCTAAGCAATTTCCTCAGTGTGACTAAAAGGTACTCATTCGCAGAGACGCGTAAGCCAATGCCAGATCCAAGTGATTTTTGATCGTCTCCTGGTTATGGCAGTGGTTTACGAAGCTCTGCGAATGAGTACCTATTAGCCGCACTGAGGAAATTGTTCAGCTTGACAATGAAACGGCTGCGACAGAATTGCCTAGACCGGTAAACACAGCAACCGCTCATCGACAAGCCCAGCTACAGATATTCGCGATACTTAGGAGGATGTAATTTGCTTCTTGTAACCTTGCATCATTCAGCGGTCAAGTTTGGATTATACTTCGAATGGAAGTTGCAGCCTATACAGGTGGCTTTACGATGCAAGAAGGAAGGAGTTAACCTGCGTGTGCTTTGTCAAAACTCCCACACAAGTAAACGGACAGTTGCTACAGATTGGTTCATCAAGAGTGATTCCTTCAATTTCACAATTCAAATTTAAAGAACGTGAGTTGCAACTACACATCAATATGGTTCCTTGTCTGTTCTATATTTTGCACTTTATCTTCTAGGTAAGAAAAAAGCAATTAGTAGGCTTCATCTCCAAGGCGGACATTTTGAAATGCCAGTGAAGTTGGTTAATAGCATAGAAAACTTATGAAGCACATTTATGTAAAATGCAGCATGAACACCTAATCTATTCTCTCTAACATGTGAGTACACTTGTCATTCATTGATACCCTTTAATATATGAGTTGTACTTGTAGTAAATTGCGTCAAGCAAGGGCAGTTTGGTGAGTGTAAATGCTTCCTATTTTATTGTCCCTAATATAACGTGTTCTATTTCAAATGCTGAATATTTTGTCATAAACACACTGCCTACCTGCTACCTGCTTAATGACCGTAGCGATACAAACTGCTTTAGTATAACCTATACAACACCTATGTGAACAGGTACTGAGTGTGATTGTAGATACGTTTTCACAACAAATCACAGCTGTTTGTCCATTTGGTTGTTAGGGTACTGTCGGCATGGTGACAGTAACCACATCCAATAAATTTATAAAAGCAGCTCACTACCTATACAGGTTTATTAGTCTCATTGATATTTGTAACTAAATTTCTGTCTAGTCTTGGAGGTATTCGCATTTGTTCCCTTGGCATGATGATGAGATACATAGCCAATATCTTAGGCCAAATATTTCACAGTAATGGAAAGGGCACGTAGCTCCGAATGTATGCAGCAACCACATAAACATAAGTGCATCTAATTCACGCTCGACAATATACACCAAAGCAAACTTGCTAGAACCGCCATTTGGTTAGCCGATTAATGATATGTTTTGTTTCGAGTAAGCATTGTTTTTAGCATTGAAAACCTTGCTTGTATTACCATGTGTCAAAGAAGCACAAAAGTTGCTTGTAGATTAAAGTTGTGGCTTGATAAGAATCGCAAACGAAACTTATTGCGTTCACGTGTCCAGAATCAAGAGGCTCATTTACACTCACAACAGTCAAACCGCAACCGCATGTATAAACAACTTCGGCTATTGTGTCCGCTCATATTCGCTTTAACTTTGCAGCGCTTGAAATAAAAATTGTCAGTGAATTGGATCCCGAGGAAACCTTACAGAACCTTGTGAGTGTAGCTTTACAAACTTTAAAGATTATCCTGGATCAGTAAGAAAAATGACCATAGAGCCGTATCACTTTGGTTGACCACAGTTTAAACAACGATTAACACTATATAATGCTTCTGAGTTTTAAGCCGTTTGAATTTTATGCGTGCGGATATAATGCAGTAATGTAGGAAATGTAATGTAGGAAATTATTATTTTGTCTGCTTATTATTCACCGTATCGTCTTACGTTTGTTACAGAGTTAAAATCTTGTGTGTTACATAAATGGTTTTCCCTTACCGCATGCCGATTCCCCGATATGGACCTACTGCTATCCTACTGCCTGGTATCCGATTTGGGATATAGTTCTTCCATGTCGCCAACAAAACTGGCGCAACAGTGCGCACAAGTTGTACGTCAATAAAAGACGAGGCAAATGCATATAGCTGCATTACAAGTTATCAAAACAAGCACAATGTCACTTGGGAATTTCCTGAAAACTGGAGTGGTCCAGCGCGATTTATCAAAAATATCGCTTACGATTCAAAAGCAATAAATCTGCAAGTCGTTGGAATGTATTGGCCAAAGCATTTGTGTAAGTTTTTGCATTTACCTAAGCCACTGTAATTACTTTTAGCCACCAAAATAAAATTTTGTTATTGGCTACTACTTTTTACGCACAAATGTTTCAACAGTAACATAGTCCCCGTTATCTGGTAGTCAAACTTTTGGCGGATCCAGGTTCAAAGCCTGATGATATCAGCAAAGCTTTAAACTCTGTATTTCATGCAATGATTTTGGATAAGCAACACGGCTTCTATCTGTTTCCCTTACGTTCCCTATGCTCCTACCAGCGGTTCATTACAGTATGAATAGCGACTTTATTGAGATTTTGCGTCACAAAGCATTCACACAACTATTACTTTAAAGTGACCCTGACGTTACTCGGGCCCAAACGGATGGTCCATAACCATGAAAATATCCAAATAACTGATAAAAACTAAAACGTTCCTTATCTGTGTGCTTTAGTTTAGGCATGAGTGCAAATTATGCCTCTTGTGCAAAATAGTAAATGAGTTACAGTGACATTTACGTGCGAATTAATTCGTCTAACAGCAATTAACGACCAAGTGCTATGTGAGTTGCAGTTTTCCTGTTGTCCAGTTCGATTGTGTTTCTAGTAAACCTATATAAAATATCTGCTGTACCACCTAGCGCGTTTATTTGCGTACATATTACGTACATGTTAAGAATATTTTAACTGTTTTGTCCTGCTTAAAACTTTGAAACTTAATTATCAGTTCTTAATTCAACTAAGTGTTTGGTAAGTAAGTTGGCAACAGAACATTCCGTATGGTATGTAACCATTTATTTTTGCTTTAAGATGTGGACACGATTGTGCTAGTGAACCGAAGATTCACCGACGTTTGCACGAAGTTTTTTGAAAATGTACGTTTACTTTGATAGAATACACTAGCGGACAAATGTAATTATTAGATTGCGATATCGTTTAGCAAATGAATGTAATGGAATCATTAACTGCAAAATTGTTCACAGCAAGCTATAAGGTTTAAGCTTTGGTGAAATTTAAAGTGCCTAATGTTAGGAGGGAATAGCTTTTAGAATCCAAGATTATTGGCTAAATTTCACCGCTGATTTGCAACAGGTTTTCGGATAATTATCATGTATTTGACTAGACTTAGCTATGAGTGTTAGATAAATGTCTCGCTGCACAACTAGCGTTGACGTATTCGCCTACTGATAAAATGACTGCTGGTAAATATTATATGATCGGAACTAATCCGAAATATGAGATGCCATCTCTTACCCATTAGCTAGCTCTGAATGGAGCTAAAGCGCTTTGTTTACTTGTTCCATCTGGCTTTTCTCATGCACGAGGGGAAACGGCTTTACAAGGTTCCTAAACAAGCAATAGGGTCGACCTATTTGAACTTAAGGGCAAACGCCTGTACTGTAACTTTTATGACGGCACGCTGGCCACGTTGCTTGAAATGTAAAAGGCCATTTACGTATAAATCATGTAAAAAGTAGGGATGACTTCGTGTAAAATATTGCTTATTTAAATAATTTGCGCTTCCAATATAACATAATAACGAGTTTAAACGCGGCGACTATTTTTCACATTAAAGCATCCCATGGCTGAGGCTTGCAAAATTATGCAGCTCCTAACCAATTATTAGGGAATGTAAAAAGTAGATCTTGGTTAAGAGTTGCTTAAGAATATCTTAACTACAGCAAAGCAAATTCCTTCCACTTCGTGATAACTTGTTAAATTGTAAGTATCTGCAGTGTGTCAGCAGATGATCAACAGATTAGTGACCAATGCGGTTTACGTTAACGCAATAATTATCAAACAGTGCGGGTGAAGGATATTTGACCTTCTTTCATGCGCACTTAGTCAGTAGTTCGTCTTAAACAAAAAGAGAGAATAATCTAATTACATGTTAGCAAATCGTTATCTAAGCAAGCAGCGTGTACTTCACTAAACCACACGCACTAAGCAATAATTAGTTGTTGCTTTAAGCGTAGTCGGTTATATCCGGATAATTTTGGTATGGCTAACGACTAATATTGTAATTGGCCAACATTTGCTGCCTGTTATCAACATCTGATGAAGGCAGGTAGTTTAAAACACCCCATGGGGTGCGGGGTATTTTGTTGCCAATACCAAGTTTCCTTCGGCATAATAAGCTACGGTCTTACCGCTCAATTGACCGAAGTTCAAGTCACTGGGAATGGCGGTCAAATTTGTGAGTGCGACAAGCCATCCACATACATAACGTACATTACAAAGATGACAATCTACTTAGCCGTTAAACATTGTGGCAATCATTGCCCATCGTGAGTTAGTGACTAAAGATTAGAAGTAACGACCAACACCCCAAAGGGTCACTGGATGAACGCCTGCTCTTTTCATCTGCTTAAACAAGGCAACGACAAACCGCGTCTTTAAGTAAATTGTGTTCGGATGGACAACACCCAATTTCTACCCGAAGTTTACACCGTATCCTGTGTAAAGCAACGCAAGTTACTTGTACCTAGAATATTCCTTGCTTTGTACGTTTATCTACGCAGACCGTTGATGAAACGTTGAAAGTAAGTGATTCGCTTGGGAATTTTATAGTGTTTGACCAAAGTGCATAAATAAATGGTTACACCTTAACCATACGTAGACTAATATGCCGACATGCATACTGGTATACCTGAATAAAACTACTTGCATTGATCTGAAAGATTTGAATCGGTTGATCTACTTGATACGTAAATTTATTGCAGCCCATAACAACATGCCGTCTGGAATTCTACGAGAAGGCCGTTCTAAATCCTCCGAACTTCGTAGCGAAGATAAATTTATTAATGCCAGTTCAATGGAAGGAGCGATATACGATGGAACAAGTGCCTTTATGGCTAGCCAACAGGTTAAGGTGGCGTGGGTGCATTTGCAGTTTTCCTGTACAAGTACGAAAAGAGGCAGCTTTCTATGGTACGCACGTAAAATATTTACCAAAATTGGATTCCTAAGATTTAGGCAGCACAACGTATTTCACAATGCTTTCAATGCTTTTGCTAAGGTTGAGTCTAAGTTGAATAGATGTTTTTAAAAGTAAGCTGACCCAAAGATCCCGGACTATCAAAAATTTGTAAATAAGCTGTATGATTTGCTAACTAGGCAAGACCAAAGGCTTACGGACTTAATTTGGCAATGTAGTCAAAGAACTGGGAGCAGAAAGTGATTTCAAAAACAGCCTATACAAATAATGGTAAAAGTAACAGGCTGTATGAATAGTTTTTGATGCACGTGTTCCTATCGTCTGGGTACACCTAAGTACCACGTCAGCAAACCCAAGTGTGTGTCTGTAATCAACGTCTTTAACTGCGTAACTACGTTGAAATATCGCTAAGTGAGGTTTCTATTTGCTCAAAAAGCAGCAAAAGCGCTTCTAACAATAGCGTTATTTCTTTCTCTCTGTCAGCAGTGAACACCCGTTTGCATAAACTTTGCACCACTAGCAAGCAGCTTCTAACGCGCTGTAATGTTCGTGAATTACGATAGAACGAAACGGCCTAAAAGTCTTTTACCATGTACGTCAAGAACTACCTGACCCAGAAGCTACACAAAAACCGAAAGCCATTTACCTAGGATAATTCTTACTAAGATTAAACTATATATACATTGCTCTGAATAATTAATATGATATATGATGTTTACGTTTGTGCAAAGGTATTTGTTTCCGATAAATCTTTGCTGTCATCCACAATTATGGAGCAGGATAAAACTGATTACTTGATGAAGGCTATGATTATAATTAAAAGAACCATAAACAGCACTCGATATATTGCTTTGGCATGACTTGCTATCCAGTAGGGTCTTATTTAGTCAAATTAGGCTGCTTGAATAAATTGCACCTTACGGGAGGGCAAATACCACTGCGGTGAAAAAACGCTGGTCGCCAGTCAAATGTGAGGAATCCTCACCGAAGTGCTTTTATGGCCATGGTAGGATCAAGGTTTATACAATCGTCCGTGGTTTGCAGTTTTATTATCATATAACATAACATGCAACATAACATAACGTTGCATATAACACATACTATTGCTTTTGCCTCGGCCCTGGTTGGCAAGCTTTGCTAACGACTAAGTAGATAGACTGCAGGTTTGGTCCGAGTATTTCCCAACTTCCCAAAGCAACTTCAATTGTGGTATAGAGTTTCTCAGACGTATTATATGGCACCTGTGTTAAAGTGTCGCCGAACACTGCATTGCTTCCCTAAGGAAAATCACAGCATGGAACATCAATAGACCGTTACTTAAAAATTTATTTAAATGGGACACCAGACTCAGATAAATGAAACACTAAGTGTCAAATATACTACCCGGAAGGATACTCCAAGGAAATGCAGCAACGGCTGTTAACCAGCAATGCTGATCCAACAGGTTCTGAAGCTTTCGTAGTTATTTCTAACTTTACCTAGGATTTATTAATCAATCGATTATACAATTTTGCACGTAAAGTTTGAATGTCGAAGATGTGTAGAAAAGATTTTTCTTGGCGCAATTGTTTACTTATGCTACATACGCTTGTCCGATAATAATATTCCGCTCTGCAAAGCGGCCCATTCCATGCGCATGCAATGGGTGTAATTGTAAAAATTACTTATACATTGTCATGCATTTTAAGGCGTTCGTGATTCACAAAGGTTACGAAGCTGTAACGCACAGGTTTGGTGTCTAATAAGCTGCGGGTGGCGAAGAGCATGGTTTTAGTACTGTGTTGTCCCTTGGCGGTTAGTTTGAATAAGCAGTGACCTAGGAAACATCGTGTGGGAGCAGCCTTTCTTTTGACATGATAAAGCTTACAATAGTAACATAGATAAAATCCTCTATTTCTAAATATGCTCCTATGTAGCAAGAATTGCTAATTTAATAAGCAGGTTTACTTTGCACCGGCAACAACCAGAGAATTATCAGGCGTCGAAATAAAGCTGACAGCAGGCTGCTTAGTTTTGGCTCCCTAATGTTTAGAAAGGCTTACTAAAACATAATGCCTAGTGTAAATACAATACAATAAATCCCACTTTGAGCCATTGTAGGACATAGGCCTGAGCTTGTGAAAAATAAATCCTCGTCATCGTGCATTTGCTCAAAGTAAACTTGTCACTTCCACTTATTTTATGTGTCATTCGATGGAATATTATGTAATAGCTGCAGCCAACTACGAAGTATAATATGGTATCTGCCATAATTGTTTAAATGCATAATTGGCGATGATGTAGGATGCTGTCCCGTTGTTGTTATGCACCGCATAAATAGCAAAGCATATGAGGTATGTGCTTGGTTGCGTACATATATCCTAGATACGGTGTGTCCTAAAATTTAAAAATGCAAGTCTGTTAAGCATAACGCCAGATAGTTATGGGACTTTTAATACGCTTGATAAAAGCAGGACCGTTTCATACTTGCAGGTAAAAGCTGGTGTAGTGCTTTCAGATTGCCGATTCTAAATGTATCCTCCGAATCGCATATACTTTCTTTACTGTGCAAGTATAATGATAATTGTAATGGCAACCTATTGTTTTAAACGATGGCTTACGTTTTATTTGTTACACTTTTGGCGTCAGCACCTTACCTAGTTTGCTAAACCCTTCTCATGGAGAAATCCGGAAGATATTTTAAGTCACACAAATAACCAAACGAAGGCAAACGAGTAGATCTCATGAGCTTAGCACTCTCCTTGGCTCTATGAGCTAAGAGCATATGGGTGGTTCAAGAAACTCATGGATCGTTTAGCGACGAATTAGTAGACACTTGTAACGCTTGTCGAACTGATATTTATCAACTACACCTTGCACCGTTTCCATTCAGTTCCATCTGAAGTAGTTGCGAAAGTAACGGACTACAGTAAGTGAACCTAGAATTTGTATGACTACTAAACCATTTGCAAATGTTTAGCGCAGCTAACTCCACTTTCGTTTAAACCATCGATGTCAAAATCATCAGTTTACTATGACGGCATTGGTACACGTAAAGTCGTGCTAAGCTTGAACTCGTTGCAGCTTACCTAAAGTTCGTTATAGTTCACACAGTTAATCCACGAATTTCTAAGCGTGTTTATCCTACTTGTTCTATTTCACCAGAATTTGTGTTGATTTTCGCCACATCAATATTTGGTATACCACCGCAACGTGTTATATCCATACGGGAGATATGCGAAAAGGTATGTAGTTAAAATGTCTTGTTTGCGTTTATTATAAATAAGCTGGTTGTTAACCAATCACTTAGAAGAGTTGCAAATGCGAAATCATGTAACTTTGCTGGCAATAAGTAGCAAAACTGCTAATCTCATCTGCATTTCTTTTGCTTACCTGCAGCTCAAATCTCTAGCGATCGGATGGATAACGAACTGCAACATCACCATGATGGGTTACAACTACGGAACAGCCATTGTCAAAGTAAAACAAGGACGCGCATCCGTTTGGGAGGTACAGCAGCAACTTATGGTGAAAATGAATCAGGAAAGCCCATATGAGTGCCGTGTCAACGTGGCAGCTCAAACATATCTTAAGGATTATTAGGTAGTAAAACAATTTGGTATGGAGGTCGTATTGGCTCAGAAAGCTTGATAGAGCGCAAGACAAAATAAAATCGTACCTTCTATTTCTAACTTCTTACTTCCACAATTAATAAATGCAATTTTGCTGACATTAACAGCAATACGCTTATTGCCTAATGGCTGACGATTATACTGCATTTAAATCTTTTACATGCGCATTTGCTTCCCTTCATACAAAAGCCTCTGAAGCTAACTGCTAATAGGTCCAATGAATAAAGTGGCATGTTATAACTTAGGTGAAGTACGTAGATCTATTTTTTGCTAAAGAAGCCGTTATATAGCTGTCATTTTATGGTTAGATTTAGTAAACATTTATTGAGTGCTTGTGGCCAAAAACACACCTTATTACAAGTATCTCATGCCCACCGTAACCTCACGCATTCTGCGAAAGCATTTACATGCTCAACAAGAATTAATTACTAAGTCGTGCAAGAAACAGCAAATGATGGCAAGTTTCGGTTGTGGTTTAACCATAGCAGCTGCTTTAAACATAACGCATGGTAAAGCTTCACGGGTTTTGTTTAAAACTACCGGGGCGCCAAACTTCTGCTACACCAGCAATTAGTATTCAGTGTTCTGCGCTGATTGCCCGTCGCCATGCACGTCGACGATGCTGTGCCCATGAACTGTTTGGAGATACACGTGTGTATTGATTTTGATTTGCGGCATCGCACGGAAGATCCTGCAAGTGGTTTTGCATGGGGCAGTTGCACCTAGAACATGCAAATACATCCAGGTTAGGTAGACACTGTAGGTCAGAAGTCATCATAAAACCTAATGCACTTTAACATGAGCAACTGCAAGTTGCACTGCATACGGCAACCTAAATCTTGCTCCAACAGCTAGGGAACGCAGGTGCATCAGCATTATTCTGTCAATAACGAGCTGGATGCGTTCTTTTGGGTTGATGTGTGTTGTTTAAGCAAATCCTACAGACATCGAAACATGGTAGACGACTCAGCAGTTTGTTGTGATGGGTCTTTCGTAAAATAGACCTCCGTTATCCAGAGGGTACTCAGTAAACTTGTTCGCCCTTTTGTCAAATGGGCAACTAAAGCTTTTCAGCCATGGGTAGAGCAGTTCACACCGCATCGAAGCAGCCCAAACGCCAAGTATTCAAAGACTTTTGTGGAATGCACAATCTCCTATACTAGCACAGGCAGTGACGATTCGGTTATCCAATAGAGTGTAACATAATTTACAAGGCAACTGCTAATGACCTATGGTTTCGGCAGGAATCACATGATTGTGCTGAATCCTTACCGCAGCTCAGCATTATTACATACTAAAACGTAAATTATTGAATACCGCACTACATGTAAACATACGCTTAGCAGTCGGATTTGTTATACCATTCATAGAGTTTCTACTTGCTTGAATAGATTCTTCCTTCAACTCATTGCAAATGTTGTTCGGTCATTGACAGTAAATAAAACTAACGTTACGAGGTTGAATACATCTCATGGACAGGGAATTAAAGCACTAACAGTAGCATCCGCGTCTGAAGCAGTGCGCTTGCTTCTGAGTCAAGCAAGTTTTATGAGCTACTCCTAAATATTGTATTTAACAGCGTTAAACGAGCCGAGAAATAAACCTTATTGTGGATGACTATTGACTGCCACTCACCAAATCCTCAGTTAAACGCTACAAGTGTTATGAGTTTTCTTATGTGTGAAGGCGCATACGCCAGTGGCTACAGTGCAGTGCTTAACCCAACGCATATTTGACCAGCATCCGCAGAGCATAACGTGGTATAGACGTACGTATTTAGAAAGTATCATATTTTTGCACCTCACACTCAGCACTAAGCAACCGGTAGCTTTCTAACTACACTACAAATGCTGAGCAGCTTTTCGTCTGGTGCCGTAGGCCTCTTTACCTATTCTCGATAACTGCTGCAATAGAATAACATCAAAACATCTTTGAAAATGTATGCAGCAAAGTTGACCTCTGCAAAAAGCAATAAGAAGTGACATGGTTTTGTTCATTAAAACCTAGTTGGCTTTGAGGGTGTTTTGATTTATGTTTCAGAGGTCAAGTAGTTGTATGCTACCTTGCGATGTCTTTGCTCCTTAAAATCCGTTCAATTTATTTCATTAGTTCAAGGTAGTGTAATAAAGGTGAATATAGAATTGTTGCTAAATAAGTAGAGACCCAATAATTCCCGCCAGACAGGTGTTAAATGATTTGAAATGAAAAGGAAATATTTGCTTATACTGTTAATTACTGGTATCGGTAAAAAGAACCTTACGAAATATCTTCCTTCTGCGTTGCCTATTTATTATATTAACTGAGTTAAAATGCCTTCAACCTGACTTTCCTAGAAAGCTGGTGTTATGTGATGCAACTTGGCTTTTGGGATTTATTGCAGTCAGTGCAATGTCCACAAATATATATACAACGATGCTTTTCTCCTGAATGTACAACACATTTTGTGATTCTCTCTTACGCATTAATTTTACAGCAAAGATGCATTTAATCAGCAAACCAGCCGGCTGCAGTTTGCGATGTTGTAACGATGCGTGCGCTGGTTGTTAAACAGATGGTACCACCAGTAAAAAGGTTTGCGTAAACTGGAAAACCACTCTGCGTCTACAAAATAAACGTTGATCGTGTGCATAAAAGCCATCTAGGATAATTACAATCTAATAAAATTTCTATTCTTGTGGCCAGTTGACGATTTCGTTGCGCAGTCGTCATGTGGTCGGAAAAATTCGCTTTTACTCCTTAACAATGACATTGATTTATATCGCGTTACCCAAGCGCTTGCTTGAAAATTTCATATAAAAGCTTGGGTAAAAGTGTAATATTAATAGGCATGCACCTGGTAAGTTTAAGCGTCCACTGAGCGAAAGCGCCGCTGTATAATGGCTCTGTAATTGTTAAACTGAAGACAAACAACTAAGACCACCTGGTGTAATTTTTACCCGATGAACGCCGTGAGAAAATAGTTAAATAGGTGCTGTTTCTGAAACATCTCCTTTGAATATGTGAGACATAAATCTGTTTGGAAGGCAAAATTACGGCATCCAAATTTAGCAAAATTTAGGCAACAGCGTGCTGGGAGCTATAAATAGCATTTAACTGGTTTCAACATATTCATGATATGGAGAAAACAACGGAGTTATAGAGCATTTAAGATTTAGAACACCAGAGGATAATCTTGCATCCAGTGTTTAACCGGCAAGAAGTTCGTTTATTTTCAGTAAGTTGTGTCTGAGCTTATTGTCCCTGTGTACTTTTAACTTGGGACGGCATGCTTTGTTAGTTCCCTTCTTAATTTTTGCAGGGATATGTGAGAACCGTGCAGCTTTAGTAGCGCCTGCTAAAGACTCCTTGTTTGTTTGGATTTCAAATGGTAGGATGGATTTTCTAGACGCGTAACGCCCGGCGCTATGTGGTTTTACTAGCACCTATAACTTGCGCTCTAAGTAAGGTGTGCCAGATTTGATGATAGGTTTGTTACGAGGGCATAAATAAGAATGATGCTACCAGCAAAATAAGGATAAGTCAAGCCTTCCGAATGCTCACAGCATTACGCCGACGCGCAACTTACCTCTACGTGCAGCTATCGCAGAATGTTTGATAAGGTAAAAGCTAATAGAATGGGCGCGCTAAGGTGTCGTTCCTTGGATGCTGTTTAAATATATGTGACAAACGCCAAACGCACAGTCATACATAAGGCGTAGCTGAATAGAACGCAAAGTTGCGTCTTTAATGGTAGAGTTACTTCAACAGACAAGTTTGAAACCGTGTTCAGGTCACGCTGGTGCATGTTGAGGTTGTCCGATTCCCTTATTATCTGCCATAACGTGTTATCTTCAGCAGATAACAGGAACCCAGAGTTAAGTTACCAGGCTAGATCAGTTAAATGCACTACCAATTAATGTGGTCCAATCAATGAGCTTTGTTATACACCACACTTTAACTTCCTTGCATCGTGCAGAAAATTGCCAATCAAACGCTGGAGTGTGTCCTCAGTACTATTGATCTAAACTTTATAGAAAACATTGGGGAGTTTAGTCGGTCAACCGCAAATCAAATTTCTAATAATGATGTTGACACCTGCAACAAAATCAACCGCATTAAGTTAGCTTACCTGCGCATACAGGTTATGTGCATTACAACTAGCAGAATTGTTTTTGTATGCCCCTTGTTGCTTTTTGTGGAACGTGTTCTATGGTCCTAGTGGCTAGCCACAGCTAAATTCTGCCAGTGTACATGATAACGCAACCTACGGTAACCAATTTATCGTATGAGCTGGGAGCTTGCGAATTGTGTCTTTTCTACTTGAATGCACGAAGCAGTAATTCAGCCTAATGTAAGAGCACATGCTTCAGTGCTTTGTAGTACCATTCTATGGCATGGCGTATTCAGTGGCAGGGTAATCCGTTGTATTTTCCACTTTGTAGGGCAGTGGAAAGTAAACCTTTCTCTTGAAATAATCATTTTACGTACAGCTTTGAATATGGATTCTCTCATCGGCGAACATTTGCTTGGGTAGCCAATAGTAAGTAGGATAGAAGCGATAAAACGTTATACCTTCTGTATTGACCTTTTCTGCAATATTCGGTGAGACCGCCCAAGGAAACTGCTAACTGGGGTTTCGTTGTATTTTAAAGGACAATCAAATAAATAAATAGATTAATAAATATTTTATTCTCGACTATGCCAAGCACGCCAATTAAGGCATGATCAGGAATGTACAGCTGTACAGACATTTTATGGGAACTGTAGTGACAGTAGAAAATTGTTCATATGTCCATGCTTG